AGATTGATGCAAAACATTTCAGCTTTTTTTTCTTTTCTTTTTTTTTTTTGGACAAAATCTTTTATTTATATGAAGTCATAGCATCAATATTCAGTCATCAAAGCATTTTCCCCCTCTTGTCCTAAATATACGTCACCTTTCCAGCTATCTTAGTCAAAAAGACTGATACAAAATTTCCATCGTTTAGGATCAAATCTGTATTCATTTAAATTCATAGCATCATTATTCAGTCGCAAGTAGCTTTTTCCTAACTTCTCGATGCATCCAATAATTACAAAGCCCGCCTTTAAATATGAACAATAGTAAACCCACTGATGAGAAAGTTAAGAAAGCTATTGAAAACTAAGGAATAATAAAGCATCATTTGACATTGAGGCCTCAAGAATCTCAAACATACAGTGGTACCTTAACTGGATCTATCATGGATGGTATTAATGAACAATATATATTTTTATGAAAGCCAATTCCTCATGACCCAGTTTGGTTTTTGTTATAAAGTACAAAAGGTTACTGAAAGAGGAATAAAAACAAAACGAAGGTTGGAAATGGAAATGGTAATCTTTATAATTCTCAACAAAATACAATACTAATAGCTATTTCAAGTGAAGTTTACCATATATGGTGGACTACAGTTAGACACCATATTCTACAACAAATAGTGTCCAATGTATTTATCATTGTATTGGGACATATTTAATATTTTCATTTTTTTAGGAATATAGCAGAAAGGTATAAAATTATTTAAATAAATTATTGAAGTGGAAAGTGACGGAAACTGAGATGCCAGGTAAGGGCTTAATAACATTGTATAAAAAGCTTCTTGGATTTTTTTTTTTTCTCTAAATATATAACAAAAATGAAAAACAACCATAATCATTCAAAATATTCAAAGCAAAATTTTATATATTTATTTTATTAATGATTGGATATTATGGGTTATCATCATTTTATTATTTATATTCAGATTATTATCCTATCTTTACATTTGTTTTAATTAAACGTTTAATAATTAATGTCCTTTGGCAATTCATCAGGTGTATATCGATGTTTTTAACTGTTGTGTTTGATACACCTAATTTACATAAGTGGAGTACCGACCATATAAATATGGGTTGGTACCGGAAGACGAGGAAGATTAAGAGATCTGAATCCAGAGACTCTGCCCGACTGCGACTTTGTCAACCCATTCTGCAGGAACAGTCTTCCCAAGAATATACCAAAAAAAAACTGTAAATATTGTGTACCTTTTTTTCATTGTTTTTAATACATTTTTGTTAACGTACATTTTAAATGTTGTATTATTATTATTCCATGCTTATTCAAGCTTCAACAGTAACCTATTAAGAAATCAGAACTGAACCCTTAGAAATTCAGAACCCTTTTATATAATTGTTCTATTATTTTTATGGTCCGGTTCCTTGTACCATCTTTATAGTCCAAGTCTAGAACCAATTTTTTTAGAACTCAAACACGATATGGAATAAATGAATATATTTTCAAACAGGAATATAAAACAGAAAAGATAGAAAAGAATTTCAACAAGTTTTTTTTTATCAACTAAACGTAAAATTGTCTGAACGCGATACTTTACAATATGATGCCTTTTGACTCGAAAAGAAAAATTTTCAGTTTTAATTTGACTGACTTTCAGACTTAAACGGACTTCACTTCAGACTTCAGACTTTTTGTCTTCAGAATTGAATTTCTGCTTCCTCTTGAGGCGCATATATTTATTACGTATGGAACAGTCCATTATGTTATTATGGGTAAGGTCCCATAACACTTTAAGGAAGGGTCAAATTAAAACGGAGGTTGGAAATGAAACGGTAATCTTTATAACATCAACAAAATAGAAAAACTCGCCATTATAAACGTGAAGTATATAAACCACTGCTAGTGGTGGACTACGTAGATTTTAAAAAAAATAAACCTTAGAATTATAATAGTGTCCAACGTATTTAAAGGATTGGGACATTTTGTTGATTAATGTTCAAAGGTTTTGTATATAACAGTTTTTCGTTCTGGTAAATATATCCATTGTAATGGTTATTGGCTTGAAAAACTTTAAAGCCATTCAATTCCAGTTGTGTTCTTTAGAGATTGCAAAAAGATTCAAATCGTTCAGAGGCCAGGTTGAAATGCAATGGCGATTTTATTGAATCAATTTTGTTTTTTTTCTGTATTTCAAGATATTTTTTTGTGTAATTTTGGTAAATATTTTTTTTTAAAAATCATAAAAGTGTCATTTTCATTTTGCCAATTTTAAATGACAATTTATCCATCGCGCCTTTAGAAATGATCAAATTTAGAGTTTTTTTGAGAAAGGCGTTTGGGAGAAATTTGGGCAAAAAAAATCATATTTTGAGCGAGAGGATATTATAATAATAAAGTGTTTGGTTTAAAATTTTTCTGGAATAACGAGGATAATTATTTAAAAACACACCCACAATTTGTGAATATACACACATCATAGAGGATTAGGGAGAGAGGGATTAGGGAGGGAGAAGATTTTAGATCTCAGAGGTTTTAGAGAGAGAGGATTTAATAAATTGTCGTCTAAATTAAGCAAAAAACAAATAAAATATTCTAATTTTAATAGATATATTAACTATAATTACGCAAAAATATCTAGAAATACTGGAGATATTTTTGTTGAATTTTAGATAAGGCAACGATATTTTTGGATCGGTTATAATTTGAGAAACAGGGAAAACGTAAATTGGTAGGAATATTTGCGCAATTTTTGAGATAAGAGTTCATTTATATATCACAACAAACAGTTACATATTCATATATATATATATATATATATATATATATATATATATATATATAGATAGATAGATAGATAGATAAACCTAGTAACCAGACAAAAATATTCCAGGTTTCAAAAGATAAGGAAATCGTCAGAAAGATTTTTTAAAAAATAGTGGCTAGCGATGGATTTTAGTTTTTGTAAACACATCACACGCACACACACACACACACACATAAAATATGCAAATAATCTGTTTTAATATATAATCCACGTTAATCATTTATATATATTTAAAAATTAAAAAAATCCAAAAGAGAGGTCTATTATTTATTCTTTGGATATTATAATAATTGTTTGGTTGCAAAATATTTAAGGATAGCCATCAAAAATAAAGATAGGGCCCATACTTCACCTTTGTTGCAGTTTTTTGTGTATATTATGTAACTAGTGAGCCAGCCCAAATGACTTGACTCACTTTATAGTCCACCAATAGAAGGTTAACCAATCAGAAGACGTAGAATATTCAATCCGTCGTGTATAAAGGCGGCCATTTTGTTTACGAATGTCCAGTACCAGTTTGTCATGCGAAGAGGAACGGAAGGAAGAACTACGTTCTGCTACTTTACCGGGATATCCATTGCTAACCTGAACAACGCTTTCCTACTGTCTTCGAAATATTCACTGCTAACCTCTGGATTCTATACTCGAAGACGACCGTCATCATGAACAACAGACCTGTTTCTTGTGTTGGTTTTACCGAGGTCACAAGATATGGTCGTTCGTATGTGTCGGTTGATCGAGGCTACGGTGGTTGGTCGATTCTTGGTAAGGTGCTTTGATTGTCAAAGTGACGAGGGATTGGTGTAAGTGGCAGACTTGCGCTATGAAACGGAGTAGACTCTTCTAGTTCCACCTGCAATGTTTAATGGATGTCAGTTATCAGTTATCTCCTGTTAATTCCCCACTCTCGAGTTCTTAACCGGGTATTGAACTCACACTCTTTAGGTCTTTTCACTGGATCTAACCAACGCCTTTATCCACTGTGCCATGGCACATGGATAAACCCCAGTGAGCGAAATAAAGGGTTCAGTTCGATATTCCAATCACCCGAAGAAGGCCGGAGCGTACAACGGCCGAAACGTTATAATAAATATGGCAAAAAAGATGAGGAGAATAGTTCGAATAATGTAAATAGTGTACATAATACCTCATCTCAGAAATATAGACATGTACTAGAGTACTGGTGTTAATAAAACAGTGCTCGATGTAATATAACAGAGCTCTTAATTATATATTAATATACATAATATCCTTCACACAACCCGGAGTTTCATGCACAACGAAATCTTCAGGTGCTTAGTGTAGACTGACCGTTACGTAACTTAAATCTTAATAAAAATATCTGGTTAATGCAATGTTGGTGCAGTCCATATATTTAT